TCAAAATGTGCCAGGCCATGTAAATTAATGCTGACCCCGCAGTCGGCAGAGGGAACAGCGAGGTGCCGGGGGAACGTTCTCAGGACGATCGTGTCCCTGCCGCCTGGTCGCCCTCCTGCCCAGGTACCCTCAGGAGGCCCACGCTGAGCTAGCCAGGAGATCAGCAGCAAAGAGAAAATCATGCCAAGGAGCACACTTCCCTCTTATGTCCCTCTGACTCCTGCTCAGAGGGAACTGAAAAAACCCAGCACCCAGAAGACAAAGATGGGAAAGACTGAAACCATTTCTGCCTTCACTGTTAAGACTATGCAAGAGAAATATTTCCCAGATAACAAGATTTGTCAACATCAGTTGAAAAAAAGGCCTACTGTGTGATAATATTAAGAAATCAACTATTCCTATAAACAGTAAGTGGCTGACATATTCTTAAGTTAATTCAATACTTGCAGCAAGGCCACACATTATTATTAACTATATAGATTACCTTGAGTGCTTATACACAGTTTACTTAAATCTGACATTGCAATTAAAGTGTCTGCTTTACATGCACACCTGTTTGACCTTCCCCCATTCCTAGGAAGAACTGCAAGATTTGTCTGTTACTACTGGAAAACTTAATTAATTGCAGCCAATAAAAGAAAATATATTCCGTAAGTGTACTGGAATATATCCTGTATGTTTATTAAAAATTTCGTGTATTAATGTTTAAAAATACACTACTTCAGTTAGAATATCAACAACAAGGACATTTTTATAGGGTGAAAAAGAAAAAATCTGCTTAGGATAAGAATACTCTTTATCAGAAATTTAAAATATTCTTTATGTAACTTCAATATCACATCATTATGATGTGATATTTACCTTTCCATTACCTTTCCCTTCTGACGCTGAGAGAACCTAATATTGGCAGGAAACTTGGAAGTTTTCATTAACAACCTATTGGAGCTCTTGGCCACATGCCTGGATGTTTCATTTTACCGCTTCTATAGAAACTCCTCTGGGTGACTGCACTGCTTTTCTTTTTCTCACGTTTCTAAAACATTGGTCCTCAATTTTTTTTGTCCTTTTGCAGTTTCCTCCATTTAGCAGCAACTGCTGCACTCCTGTTCTACCCTTGCATAGCGAATGTGATCTGAGCACAATGACAGCACAAAGAGCTATCATTACAGATAGCGGGCATCATAAAAGAGTTTGCCATATGCCTTGTCATCTGGCCAAACTGATGACATAATTCTTTTACAGCAGTCTGGGTAGTTAATAGGAGGTATATAAACTTCTGGAAGTTGGTAATTTATTAGCTTTTCGCTGAGAGTAATATTAGCTACTATGCTTTTAAAGATTGTATGTGCTTAATATTAATTTTAAGTTACTACTTAAAAATTGTAATTCTAATTAGTCTAACAGTGAATGATGCACTGGCTGCAAAATCAAACTTTCTTTTCCCAAAACGCATTCCTGTCTTTGAGTGCACTTTTTCAGTTCTCTTTCTTTTTTTCCCTCCCAGGGCTATCCAAATGTTACTAACATGGTGAATGGGCTATCCCTTTTTCCAGTGTCAGACAAGGCTTTAGTGGGAGTACAGCAGGACCAAAAGTACTTTCCACTGCTACTTAACACAATGAAAAAGAACACAAAGTCATTAAGCTGTGGAGAGTGCAGTACCTGATTGCTGCCCTAACCGTCTGACTAGGGTGCATCACACAGGTCACACCAGCTGCAGCACAAATCTATCCAGGTCCTCTTTTGCAACATGACTGCATATTCTGCACACAGCAGTCATTATACACAAAACTGCAATCACGGCCTTGGGTTGAGCAAGCATGCACAAATACACTGTGCCAAGTTAACCGTACACGTATTATTCAGTCTATGCATGCAGGTTAATCCCTGCACTCGCCCAGGAGAAGAGGGTAGCTACTGCTAGACTAATACTTGCAATTTCCTCCTGGTGCCCTGCCTGTCAGAGACCACTTGCAAAGGGTACAGGCTGCAAATTGAACAAATCATTCCAGCAGTGATGATGTATTTCTTGGGATCTTACCTGTGCACATAGGAATAAATCTGATTTGGCCACACTACTTTTCAGTAGATGGACTGACAGAAGAGGCCTGCCACCACTGGAACAATTCACTCAGCCCTTAGCTTGCTTTGAGGGCTCCCAGGAAGAAGAGGGTTACCAGAAGAATCCTATGGGCAGAATGAATTGTCCTAAACTGAGTTCAGGTGAGACACTGAGTGTCTTTCCTAAAAGGAGAGGCCCACACACAGTGCAAAGTGAATACATGCAGCTGACTGACATCTGGCAATAAATAAACCATTTGTGTCAGACAATGCACGTTGGTATATGGAAATCCTTGCCTGGGAGATTTGTTATCAACTGGACGACAGCCCGGTCTGTATGGGCTCAGAGCAGGTAAACTGCTGAGCTCTCAAGAAAGTCAATGGAAGTAGGATTCAGAGAACAGGTAATATCTTGCAAACGGATGCAAAGCAAATGAATAGCTTAGAACAAAGCTACACTAAATGCACTTTTTGCATTCTTCTGTCACAGTGATGCCATCAGAGACTGGATTACACTGAGTCTCAGCTGTTTGGGAAACTGGTAACTTTCTGTCTTGTGCTCCTGAATTTAAAGTTACTATGTGAAAAACAAGCCTCTAGAATCATGGTTCTGAAGAGAGCCTTCTATATGTTGTTATATCCTTTCACATCCATTTCATATCTGTTATAACTTGCTGAGAGCCTGAGGCAGAAACTGAGACACAAATATGCGTAAATCATCTCTACTATTTACAGACAGTAGCTAAACTAAACCTAACCCAGAGTAATTCAGAAATTGATTTTGTTATCTACTTTGCCCATCGAAGCTTACAAAGAAATGGGGTATTGTAACATTAAGTTCTTTATCAGCTGCTAGAGTTATTACAAGAAAGAACAGTAACTGTTACATTTGTAACTCTGGCAAACATACAAATAACCAGGACTTACCTTAAAATGATAAAATATAGAAATGCCCTGAAGTAGGTTAAGGGAAAAGTAAAAGATGGAAGTGTTTCAGAGGAAAAAAAAAACACACAATTTTAACTCTTTTAACTAAGGAGATACCTCCTATGTTACATAGCCCTGTTGGGAATTCAGTTTATCTCCCTCTTGTCCTTTCACTAGTATACACAGAACCATATAGTTTGGCAGCAACCTCCAGAGCTCATCTATAGTCCGACCACTCAGTTCAAAGCAGGTCCAGTTGAGTTCTGAATACCTCCAAGGATGGAGGTCCCACAGCCTCTTGGGGCATCTGCACCAGTGATCTTCCCCCGTAACATTCTTTTTTGACTATTTAGTTGGAATTTCCTGTGTTCCCTGTTGTCTGTTGCTTCTTGTCCTTTCACTGCACACGTCTGAGGAGAGTTCACCTATGTCTTCTCTGTATCCCCCGAGGTAGTGAAGACAGCACTAAGATCTCCCTCCTTCCCAGCCTTCTCTTTTCAAGGCTGGAGAAGCCCAGTTCTCTCAGCCTCACCTCACACATCCTCCAGCCCTGCAACCATTGTGGTAGCTCTCTGTTGGACTCAATCCAGCAGGTCAATGTCTTTCTTTCCCTGGGGAGGCCAAGACTGGACACAGTTCTCCAGATGTGGTCTCACAAACGCCACACAAAAGGGAAGGACCTGCTGGCTACACTCTTGCTGACATAGCTGAGGACAGGACCGCCCATCTTTGCTGCAGGGGCACACTGCTTGCTTATGCACAACTTGTCTGTGAGGACCTCCAGGCTTTTTCCTACAAAGCTGCTTGTAGCCAGCTGCCCCCTAATCTGTACTGCTGCACAGGGGTTATCCCTTCCCAGATGCAAGACTCTGCATTTTCTTATGCACTAAAACAAGAGGCAGCATTTACAGTCTTTGAGTGGAGTCTAGGTTAAATCAACTTTTTCCAGTCTGCTCATCTTTGAAGGAATATTGTTATACAGATCATCTCTTCTTTTATAGCATTAGAAAAATGACTGGAGAAAGCTAGGAACCTTTATTGCAATCGCCAATACAAAACTCAGAAGAAAGGGCCCAAACGCCAAATATAAAACCAAGCTATAAAATAAAATAATATAATACAAATAAATATTATGCATTGCTGCTAAAATATCTCACTGTCTTGTATTTATGGTTCAAATCTTTAAAAAAGGGTAGTCAATGTAATACCCAGCATCAGTATTTTCCAGGAAGAAAATGTTGAATTTTTAAAATGTTCATGAAGAAAATATTTAAATTTATCTTCATGGTGGAAAAAGTAACAAATATTTAAGAGTGTATTCAGAGCACCTCTGCAGTCTCAAAGTTTGTACTTTCCTTCCTTCACATCCCCAATCCCCATATAATATATCACAGCTCAATTCTTCTGAACTAGGAAAAACAAGGGATAATTCACCTCGGGATTCACCTCCATCATTGCTGAGGGATAAAATTTGTACAGGTGTGAAGAAAATGTACAATATCAGCCTATCAGGACCTAAACATGCCATTACCCTACAGCATCCATAACACCCCAAAATCTGATGATCAGGCAAAGAGCAACAACAAATAAGAATCAGGTGCAGTTATCACCTTTTCTGCATCTTTTAGCGCAAAAATCAGTGCCTTTTGATGCTTGAATCAAAGACTAGAATCATTTATGTGAGGCTAGAAGCTATGAAATAAATGGGGAGAGATAATCTTTACATGGAATAATCAGGACGAGGAACAGTAATAGTCCAACATTCAGAGGCTATCTAGGAAATGTATGAGGCAAATGACAAAGAGATATCAGCATCTCCGAAGGAATACTAGAGGCAGCATCCTCCTCTCCGCACATTAACCATTCAAAATGCTCTGGCAGCCATCTCTCTGCTCCTTGCTTCCAGAGCCACTGTACATCACTAAAACACTGCATTTCCACAGACTCCTGATAAAACAAGGCCTTTCTGTTCCTCTTTGCAAGGCAACTGTGGCTACAGAATAACAATTTACCTCCATTTTTCTCTTCCCTTTTCCTTCTTTTTCCTTCCACCCTCCAATCTGGTTATTTTTGGACTGCCAATTGGGATTATTGCTCTTTTTCCCTGCTAAAATAAAAACAAACAATAATTATACTTCAGGTTCTGGGCCTAAGCATAAGATCAGCCTCCAACATTAAACAGTCACATTTTCTTGCCTGAGGTGTAATGTCATCTCTTACGACACTGACAAAATCAAGCCTTGTAACTAAAGGCAAATTCTGCTTCTGGAGTTGCATGTGCAGTTCTCTGACTTCTCTGCTAACTACCAATCTGCAACCATGGGCAGAAGCCTGCTCTAAGAACTCAGCAGTGATTGACATTTGCCTGCTCTTACAGTATGAAAAGATTTAGTCTTCTTGATGCAAACTATAATGACAATTTAGAATATACACAGCTAAATTAGAATATTTATAACCCAAAGCACCCTTTCTGTTTGATACCTCCTCTTCATTTCAGACCACCTTTTATTACTTTTTCCCTTTTCCCATACTCCTTACCTAGAGATGGTACATTTGTAAGGAATTTAGCATCTACAAAATAATATACAATGTAACAGTGCCTATTTCTTATCTCTAAAGGAAAGTCTGAAGTATTGACACTTCTGAAGGTAGCAAAGACTTTTCCCCCCCCAACGTCATAACATCACACAAAGGCCCAGCTGAAATCAGTATCAAGTTTTCTTAATGATGTGTCTAGTGTCCTTCAAGAAATAATATGGGCTAGTACCTGAGAAAAACACTTTTTATTTTGAGGGTGATAGGGGAAATGAAATGAACATACAGTAGATTTTCAACAAAATGAGACTCAAGGGAATCACGGGAAAGAGAACTGTTTAAGAAGGTGCAACAGTCAAACGTGGATAACACACTGGGAGAGAGACAAAAAGGCAATCAAACTTCATAAAGTACAAAAATGAGCCACCAATTCTCTGGAGAAGGCTTTTGCTAATAAGACATCTGACTCAGAAACTTCAGAAAAGATGATCCCTTTCAAGAAATAGGTGTCCAAATGTTATGCATAAAAATTGTCCAGCTACAGCAGGGTCTCTTCACAATGCAAACATGACAACCTTCTGAATGTAACAACAAAGTAAACTATTCAAAGGAGAAGAGTTTTGGGCTGCCATCTGCTACCCTGAAAAATATCTACAATGTTACTGGAAACAGTTATCTTTTAAACCAACACTACCATCTACTGCAAACAAATAGCAGGATGTGGGCTATATTATTTGACGTAAAGTTTTCCTGGAAAATAAACGCTATTGTATGCACGTAGCTTTTAGTAAGCACTCAAAAACAGACTGGTTAGGAAAGAATTTTCACTGTTTTAATGACTCTGAGTACCTGATTTTATGTAAACACCCTTAGGAATACAATCCTTTTCACAGGAGTTTCATGGGCCCTGCCAGGCACTATCATTCATACTCCCTTAGAAGTAACATAACCTTTCCCCATGTACACATCATTTTAGCAACTACACGATGACATATCACTTTATATAGATGAATGGTTGCAGATTTTGACACATTCTAAACTTTTTGCTTGCTCAGTTTATTTGTTGCTCTTGTACTGGCTACTAACCACATTTCTAGTGACATTACCTCCTCTCCCTTGACGGCAATTATGTTACAGTGAAGTCTGCAGCTGTATTACACTGATGAATCCAGCTTGTCCAACAATGCAGCTAAGTGTCTGATATAGTATTCCAGGGCTGTGTAAATGTAAATGTTAGCTGTTTTTTTCCAGCTGTGCTTTTGAGGGGTCAGTTAAATGAAAGGTCACATAGCCTTTATCATATTTAAAGTTTATGAAAAGTTTGTATCTTCTTTTGAACTAATACAAGAATTTCCCTTTCTAGTTTTATAAAACCATTAACTGGATCTGAGGGTACGGGAAGAGGGTTTATGCTCGTCCTAGTAATCCTCAACATTTCTTAAACACACCAAAAATTATTTTCTTATTCTTTTTTCTTTTTTACTTTACCACTACTATCGGAAAAGAAAGTTAATACTTATAACCAGAACTAAAGGCTTGCCTGTATCACAGTGATGCAGTTATCTGTAATCTGAGCAAGAAGTCCACATGGCACAGCACAGTCTCGCTGTACATGCAAGGGTTGAAGTCTCATGAAACAACGTGGCTGTCTTAGTAGGTCTCATTAGCTCATGCAACAAGAAGTCAGCTGGGGCCTCTCACCAGTTTTGTTTCCAGACATGACAGTGTAAGCCTCTGTTCAGTCACAAGGTTTATAATCCTCCTCCAGAAAGTTTCATCAATTAACCTCTCATTTTTCTCCCATTTTCTTAGAGCTAAGCAAAAGAGAGTCAGAAATGATTCAGTTTCAGATGCTAAGGTGTTTTTTTTTGGTAGTGGTCAGCAAGGCAAACATCTGTGAATCATTGCCAATTAGTTCCTCAAGCAGGCACCTATAACATGCAAGTGAGTTGACAATGTTGTTGGGGTGAAAAAGTAATGTACACATCTATCACCGCTGCACTGCAATAAAGTGTCCAAATTTAGGGATCAGAAATGAATCAAAAGCAAACACAGAGCTTAATAAGAATAATAAATTATTAGAACACTCTCCGAATTTATAAAGGTTAGAGAGTTCTCAGAAGGTACCGGATACTATACTCCTGCTTCTGCAAGCTTGCCATGTCCTCTGTTGACTGTTAAAATATTTTCAACAACATGACAACACATTTCTTTCCTATTGACACTGTCTTAATCAGGACAGTTTTTGGCTGCCTTGGCAATAAAACATAATTGCATAGGGAAAGGGCCTGATGTCTACAACTCTTATTTTATGCAGAGCTTGGAAAATGCAGGGTGAATAGGGCAAGAGTTTACAGGAAGAAAATGACTGTTTAATGGTTAAAATAGCTGGATATTCCCTAACAAAAACTTCATTCTTTCTATTTGACTACAGAATTCTTATGTGATATTAGAGTAAATAAAGTCAACTAAACTCTTCATAAGTGGCCAGTACTTCAGTGTTCTTCATCTTAAGGATGCCCTGAATAAGACTTTTGGTGTAATTTGTCAAAGTGTTGAGAACTCAGGACACTATGAAATTACTGGCAGAAGTGCTTTGACTACACAACACTGAATAATTTAGTATACAATGGACTTAAAAATCATTCACACACTCACCCCAGTATTATTATGGACATATGCATATAACTGAATATTTCTCATGCCTAAAATCCATATGTCTAAATACCATGTCCACTTATCAGCATTGAAATGGTCCTAAGCGGTACTATAAAATTTTTATAAAAGTATTTTGGAAGAGAGAGATGGATCTGAGCAGCTTTCCAATGTATATTCTCACATCTGTTGAGAATTCCTGTGGAAGTAAATGAGGTAAGAGTTTTACTTCCTGATATTACACCATCAAGCACACAGTTTTCTTCTGGGTGTGCTGGGAAATAATAAAGATTGAACCAAACTCTGTTCTAAAAGTATTTATGGAATTTCCATTGCTACCTAATGGTTTTCGCCAGTTTTTCCAACAGTATCCAGGCTATCTCCAAAGCATCTTCATCAAACTTTATGTAGTTTAAGTTCTGTTAGGATACTACAAATGTAGTACAAATACTACAAATACTACCTTTATTCAACTTCCCATCACAAATTCTGAGGGTTATATTCTAGATGTAAACACTTTTGCCTAATATACCGTAGAAAAACCCACTGAAATAATTGAAAAGATGCATTAAGATTTTCACTGCTCTTCTCTGACTTCCATCAGGTGGAAGGGTAGAATGAGCTTTTACTAAGAACGTGCTGATATTTTAAGTTTTGTGAAAAAATTTCAGAAGTTAATTGTACAAAAAGATATTCTGCGTTCTCCTCAAAATGTATTTCTTTACTGTGTTCCCTTCTGGATTTTTCTGAAACTCACATTATTGCAAAATGTCCCTTCCACTAATGCTGCGTATTATATACCTTTTGCTGGAAATTTCTGCGCTTCATGGGCTGATGTTTTGCTGCATCTTCTGCAGGTTTTCTAATTGTGCACTGTTCTTATAGGGTGCATTTCCTGTAACGGCTTTTTTCATGAATGTGTCTTTCTTGTGTCAGTACTCTCTGAGGCTTTCTTCTGACTATGGTTGCCATCTCATAGGTATTTATTTGCAGTTACTTGCATCTTCAATTTTGCTATTGTTTCTGCTGAGTCTAAATTCCTCCATGTTGATGAAATTGTGCTTTTCTTGGCAATGCCTCTTCCCATCTCCGATTGGTTTTTAACAGTCAGGCTCCACAAGACAGGCAACACTTACACAAAAGATTCCCTTTTCCTTCTAATTCTGGTCCTTTCAAATATAGCCTATGAACGTGCATTTCACTGAGCAGATATCTTTTATGTTGTAGTTAGTGCGTTCTTTCCTCTAGATGTTCCTTGTTTCATCTCTCTCATGATTGTGCAACACCAGAAACCCTACAGTCACTCCAAAACCACAAGATACGAGATGAGGGAAACACTTCCACTGTCTCAAAAATCTTGTACTTAGCTACCACATGTGTAGCATAAAAAATTTGTTGATATGCTGTCAGTTTTAAGAAAGACTCACTCTTCCTCAGTGTATAAGCAACGTCTTATGCAACTAGATCTCCCTAAAAGACTAAAGTGACAATCATGCACACGTTAGCTACAATTCCAGAGTACAATTACTGTGAATGTATTCAAAAGGACTTTGAAATGAGGCAGAGGAGATATGAACACATAAATTATATTTGACAAAAAAGCACAGGACTAAAATATCCACTTCCAGAACTATATATATCAAAAGTTATACAGGATTTGAATATATGTCATAGTATTAAGGAGGCAATTCTACATTCTGTTCTTTAATCTGTATCTGACTACTATCACAATGAAATATTATTATCACAAAGATTTTAAATAATGCTTGCACCTTCTGACTGAAGGCATTTTGTTCAATCATATGCTTCTAAGGACTAACATTCAAATTTCTAAAGGTGCCCACCCATATTTTATGTTTAAATAAGAATTTGCATGAAACAATGACTACATTAACGACAGAGTTTGGACAGACACAT